CCACAATGCAACATATATAATAAAATACAAAAATTCAAAATAAAAAATAGTGCAAAAAGTCTATATACATGTAAATAGAATATGATTTGTACAAGAACAGAGAAAGGTCACATCGGGGTTATTCCTGCATCAAAAAACAGTATTTTCTTTTATATAAATTCATAAAAATCACTCCTCATAGTACTTACCACATGGATTTACTCGTCTTTTACAAAATAATACCAGGATTACAGTTTATTTATTAGTTTTAAAAAAGGCTCTTTTTCTACTGTCCTCTCATACTTTCACCTCATTCATTTCTTCTTTTTATTTTAAATATATGTATTGAATTTTGACAGGGTAACACAATCAAGAAGGAGCATGAGACCAATATGTAACCCCTTGTTTTCCACTTTGCACAAACACAGAACACATTCTCCACATATGCAATAAAATCATTTAAAAAAAAGAATTACTGGAAGAAATCCCTAAAATCCAAAGACAGCACAACAGAATATACAGATGTGTACACAACAATTACATAAAGGCTTGTTAGACATTGTAAACTATATGGAAATATGCCTCGAAATCTCCGTCCATTCTAGTCCGTAGAGACCACATCGGAGATAAAAGATTTCTTGCAGATTCCATTACCAAGATGTAGACATGTAACCCTCCTTCACGGCATCTTAATGTGTGTGTACTCTGTTTTTCTTGTGTGGAACATTGTTGGGTTGGGGTCAGAGGAGAAAACACCTTGCGGTAACACTCTAAATGGTCCCGGTGTGGAGCGTCTCCAGAGGTTACCTGGACCCTCCAGCTATCCCTCTGTTCACTTACCTCTGCAAAATGTAGACAACTGCTCTTCCAGGGGGGGGGGGGGACTGCTAAAGCAAAACTATCCAGAGATTTAGTTCCATGGGTTTTGATGCTGATTGCTACGGTAACTACCTCCCTAAAGTGCGTTCAAACACTATCCAGTAGAGAACTTAAATGGTTGGCACATCATAAACAACGGACTATTTTTAGCTTTATGTGTTGTTATGTGTTCCTCTGTAGACTGTTTGACCCCGCAGGTCGTTAGCAATGATACGCCATTGGGTCATGTGACAATGGATGTAAGCATAAAGTACAAAAGAAGCAGATGGTTGCACTTTGGTTGTTGAGTGTAATCACTGCAGAGTTGCCCGAAGGCGCGTGTCCTTGAAAGGAGAACGAGACGCAGTGATAAGATAATACCGTTCTTCAATACCTTCGGAACCACAGATGGCAAAAGTACACACATCCTTTAAGTAGAAGTACAGATACTCCTGTTTAAAATACTCTGGTAAAAGTAGAAGTACTGATACTCCTGTTTAAAATACTCTGGTAAAAGTAGAAGTACTGACTAAACTTCTTTACTTAAGTAAAAGTAAAGAAGTATGGGCTTTGAAATGTACTTAAGTAAAAAGTACCCATAACTAGCAGCTGTTTTAAAGAGTACCTGACCTCCCTGAAAAATAAGTAGTGGATTACTGATACCAGAAAAATGTACTCAAGTACAGTAAGGAAGTATTTGTACTCCACTACTTCCCACCTCTGCTCTCTAATGATTGGTGCATTCAGGACCAAACAGCTCCCACTAATTGAAGCAGTGTTAACAGATAGCAGATTGACACGCAGCATTTCCCCTGAGTAACACATTCCAGACTACGCTAATCCATAAAGTAGACTGCCACAAGCTGTACAAGAGGAATAACACATCATGCGACGCAGTCAAATTTAACGGGGGAGAGGGGGGGGGAGGCCCAGATGCCCACGGATGAACGCCTGCCAACAGCCCAGACCTACATTTAGTTCACGAGCGTGATCAAAATCTCAATTTACACGCTCTGTTATTGCTCTGCGACAACACTGCTAACTAGAGGGTTTACACGGTGCTTTGTGAGGCTGACTCTTTTGTGATATGTGCGTAAACTAAATATATGTGATGTTCCTTTTCTCTCTCTGCAGAAAGACATTTCCATGGAGAAAATGTCCGTCGGTACGCAGCCGGACTCTCTGGATCTCTCTTTGGAGTCCCTGAACAAACTGAACGGCAGCTTAGGCCTCCGCAGGGAGGGCTGCCAGGCCGACGGGGGGAAGAGCGGGGGGGACGGCTGCAAGCTGGAAGAGCCCTCCTCCTCCAGCTTCTCCAGTAGGCCGGGGGGGGATCCAGTGGGCTCCCTGAGCGACTCGCTCTACGACAGCTTCTCCTCCTGCACCAGCCAGGGCTCCAACGAGGTGTAGGGCCCCCCAGGAGGAAGATTATTCTCATCGAGACCCCTCCTCTAACACCTCAAGGTTTCTTCTGAGTGGTAGATATTGTGGGAAACTGAAAAATGTCACTCGTCACCAGTTTCAATATCAGGATACATGTATTTATTATCCTCTCAAGAATGGAAGTACTCATCACATACAGAGCATTTTTTTACAACTAGAACAGTGTCCTTGAAATGCTTACAAGAGAGGGAGGTAAAAAGTCCCAAGATGGAGGGTTCAAAGCAGATGTTTTGTTCAGATTACCGAAGACGCACGTCAAAAATGATCATACTTGTCATATGTTGGGCCTTTCTTATCATGTGCTACTCTGATATTGGAAGAGTTCATTCCCAACAGAAACCTTTAGGCAGCCATTTTGATTTGGCTTCACCTTTCTGGATCTGGTCTTCAAGTTTGACTTATTCATGGGGAAAGACTGGACTTCAGCCCTGTCCTCTCTACAACACAAAGCACTTGATGAACCTCTAAGCAAACACCGAACCAGGACTTTAAATACGTGGTGGACTGGAGAGCAATACAAAACGTCGTGTCATCGCAATGTGTTTTCTTCTTATCATTGCACTGTAACAAATACTGTACAAAGTTAGTAAGGAGAGTCAAGACAGTTGCTGTGATTGCATTCCTGTTTGCTAGGAAACTACATTCAAACCTTTTTATTTTTTGCTGCTAAACGTGGAATCACAAACGATAACCTTGGTTTCTTTTTCTTCTGTGATGCAATACTTTTTACATTTTTACATTTTTATTTTTAAAGGTAAAAACCCGTTGCCAATGTTGTCTTTGCGTGTTATTTTGAGCATCAAATGACATGGACATCTTCAGTTTTAGCAGCAGTATGTAATCGTGTTAACTTAAGCAAAAAGAATATTATGTTTTCCTTGTGGCATATTTCCAAAAAGAGAAGATTTTTCAATTTGTGACACTTTGAGGTAAAGCAAAGAGTCATTGTGGGTAGCTCAGGGAAAATACGGACTAATGTAGATTGTAAGAAACTACAAAACCACTCAGTAATATTCTGCTTTTTTAGATTTTAGAATCCACACCGCTTAGTTTATACACCTGAACTCGCCAAACCTCAGTTTTCCTTTCATAGCTGTACATTACGTTGTATATAAAAATGACTATAAGTTAATATCAGAATGGGCATTGCTGATTGATATATGCAAATAAGGAAAAAAAAAGATGTACATTATTGCCAATCATTCAAGGTTTCTAAGTCTACTGTTTGTATCTTTTTCTTTAGGGGTTCTTGTTTAAAGCAAAATCTTTATTTTGATCGATAAGAGCTTATACTAAAATATTTTATCACTTTATTTTCAAGACATATTTGAACTTTTAGGTGAAGTTATGCCAAATTTCTCTCTGGAATTTGACCAGCTGGTGCTAATCAACAGAGCCGACTGTGTGTTTCAATTTTTCTATGAAACTGTTAATATTGTATGAAGAGACTTGTGTATTTTTCTAGATGTCCAGTATTTATACCCACATTTTGTACTGTCAGACTGTAGTGTGAGTGTCATGCTTCACCTCTCTCCTTAAATGTTCCTTTGTAAAGAGAAATGGTTACCAGCAGTGTTACTTTGGTAATTATTATTAATGTTATTATTATTATTATTACTACTGTGTGCAATTCTGTCTGTTACAGCAGACTTTAATGCTATATTTTATGTAACTATTTCCTAAATAAATATGAGAAACTATTTCAAACTGAGCTGCAAGCTGTGTGTATTTTCATTATCAGGTGATTCACTCAGTGTGAGCCAGAGTGTGAGCCGGAGTGCAGCCCTGAGCCCTGTATTCCTGCGCCGCTGCGGAGGGATTTATAACCATTAGTCCCTTGATGGGTAATTAGGTGCGTATTTACGCTATTAGTTTACGCACGCTCGGATGATTCCTCTTCTGTCTGCTTCAGTAATAGGCTCAATATGTTGCATTGATCACAAAACAAACAGCAATAGAACATATGCACATATTTAGTTTATTATTTCATTGTAGCTTTGACGTTAGGGGATGACGTAAGGGGGAAATCAAATGCTCCCTACAAGTAAAGTGGTCTTTAATAGAGTTTAGATGCGGACTAAAACCAACATAAATAATGTTTTAATATTATTTTGAAATCTTAGGCTTAAGTCAGTTGTTGCCAACATTGAAATATAATTAAAAAAAAACATATAGCAGTCCATATCTGAATAATGGGAATTCCAAATAAAACAATTAAAAAGGCAACAAAAAAGTGACGTAAATCGTACTTAATAATATATACTTTATATATACACTATTATTTTTGTTATTTAAGATTAATATACTTAAACTCTTGATCAAATGTTACAAACTGTTACAACATCACTGTGTTAACTTAAAGCATTATAGCAAAAAAGGACCATAACTCCAAATTCATTGTATAAGAAAATGTATAAATAGATAAAGGTCACTGACACTCATAATGCAGTTATATTTACATTTAGGATACATTAAATAATAAGGTATTGTAAGGAATAGAGGTGGTTGATATGAATTCACTGAACTTTTCATTCCTCTCCAACAGACACATCACAGAATTATCATTTAAATGTAACTTTTAAATGCCAAATGTGTGTAAACTCACTGCGTGTGGATAAGCTTTGATCGCCATCTCTCTGTCCTCAGTGCATGAAGAAAAGTGAGAGAGATATGAAAATGCCAATGCTCCCATCATCACGTGGTTTCGCGTTATGATCCGTGCGCTCTGGGTTTGTCTCCCGTTGAGGAGAGACTCTCCACACTTTGCGAAGCTTCCTCACCCCAGCCAGCAGAGAGGATGAACGGATTGGAGTCTGGTGTTCCTCCGCGGCGGATCGTCCTCCATGCCTCCGTCTGAACGAGGTCCTTTGGTCTGATGTTTCCCCTCCGATCCTCATTTCGGAGAGAATGCTTCTTCTCATTTTTGCGACTTTATTTGGAGTCCTTCTCAACGCAGGTAGGTGCATGTTGGAGACACTGCGGACACGTTTGGAGTCGTTGTGTCCGTTTATATGTATTAACACGTGCTGAGATTGTACTAAAGAGATACTTCCTTTCGATTCGTGCGCAAGAAACCATTATTCAAAGAAACCTGATTATTTACTGCATCGAAACATTATAATTTAAACTGTTTAATCTCGCGATATATGTTTGGACGTGGTTCATTTTAGAAAACAGCTTTTTGGAAACTAATTTCTTCTGCGTATGTGCGTAAAAATAGTCTTCCAAATCCGCATACAATTTTCACATTTACTGCCTGACTTTGAATAGTTTTGAGGAAACTCAAGGAACTAAGATTCTTTTTGGTGCTGGGGGGGTGGGGGAGATTATCAGTTACCCATTGGCCTATTTTCAATTGTTCTGATACTTGGTTTGAATGAGTGGTTTAATTTATGCCAGCAAATATTGCGAGAATGCTGCCTTTTTTGTGCCATTTTTGGAATAGGTGGTGCTCATATGAGGACACATGCTGTCCTTTACTATCCTTTTATTTATGACATCATGTTGTGACTAAACTGATTATTGTGACTATAATATATTGGTTTTGCACCCTCATTATGCAGATTGTGTATATCATTTCTGTTGTGGAAAAAGCAAGTAGATTAAGAGTTCTGATGGACCTGATAAACTTGATTCTCCCCTCCACTATGATAGATATTCCCCTAAAAAGAAGTTAGTTGTTTTCACAATCTCCTCCCAAGTGATGGATGGAGTTGCTTGGTTTAAAGTAATTATCCTGGGGTTGTGATGTTATATGTGGACCTTTTATTAGATGCGTTTGATGGTGCTGTCGGCGTTGAGATTAATGTTTGGTGCCATTTCAATAATTACTCTACTAATATATATGTCAGTGGGGACGGATAGCCTGTGGGAGATATTGGAAGAGGGAAAGGGCAGACTGGACTTGGAAGTTTTTGATTGAATGCCTCCGTATATCTTTTAGAAATTGTTTTATTTTCAGATTCTGTTAAAAATACCATTAACATTCACCATTATGTGTAGTGCAGTGTACATATATCACGCTTAATGCACAGCACTCATATTGTCTGCAGAAAATGATCCTAAGACATTCATCATTTATAGCTTGTATACCATTTTAAAGTATAACAGAAACTCAGATTGGCTATTCTAAGCAGCTCTAAAAGTAACAGATGAAATGTGGGAAAGCTGCGAGGATCTCTGTATATTATCTTTATGAGAAAATGCAGTGACACTCACATTTTACTACCTCAGGGGATGAGATTTCACACGGGCAATCTTTACACCAGCGGAGCGCATCAAATCGTTCTTACTGACGGCTGGTATTGTAAATAGAGCTTTATCACCTATAAAAATCCCCGCGTTGAAAGGGAAGTTAAAGGAGCCTCTGCTGATGTGTTTTTCTTGTAAGAGCTTTACCTCACCTCAATGTGTGAATCCATAACCTCTCTGTTGACTCTCAGGAGACAGCCAATAAAACTAGATTAGACCCGGAGAAGGACTTGCTTATGTGCTTTCTCTAAAGTAACAAAACCTCGGCACTGCCCTTGTGCTAGCAGGCGTAATGTCACAGAAGATAGAGAAGATGACATTGCACTCTCATGGAGCGCCATTAGTCTTGTTTGAAGGTGTAACATTATCGAATAACACAGCTCTCTCCCAAAGGCATATCTATAAGAGCCTTGGCTGCTTGACTCGAAGAGAACATAAAGAGGAAAAACAAATGTCCAAATTGGGTTCACACAATGTGCCGAGTGAGAATACTGTGTGTCAGTATGAACTCACAAGATACAGGACAAAAGTACTGTATCCTGTCATGAAAGGCAATCATTGAGAGAATAAGGAATAGGTGACATTGACCTCTGGAGTAGTGGCACCTTTTAATATACTTAATTCCCTAAAAATAGTGAATTATTTTTACGTATCACAACCCTGATTTCAATGGATCATATTTTGGGAAATACTCTAATTCGCTTCCTTGCTGAAAGTCATATGAGAACATGGATCTACCACGCCAATTAGCCTAGCTTAGCTTAGCACAAAGACTGGAAACAGCTAGCCTGGCTCGGTCCGAATGAGACAAAATCCACTTCTCAACACTTGCTAGCAGTTTCTTCCTGATTTCAGTCTTTGTGCTAAGCTAACTAGCTGCTGGCTGTAGCTTTACCAAACAGAAGAGCGGTATTGACCTTCAAATCTCTGCAACACAGCAAATATGCCAAGCTATTCCTTTAATCAAAATGCTATAGCTACTCTATCTAAGATTTTATAGCATATATTTGTCAGCTGTCATCCATCAGAAAACCTCCATTTTGTCTGCTATGTCACAATTGCTCAAACATTTTCCACTTCCAGGAGATGCCCTTCAGATCCAGTGCTACCAATGTGAGGAGATGAAGCAAAATGACTGCTCCACGCCGGAGTACATCGTCAACTGCACCGTCAACGTTCAGGACATGTGCCAGAAGGAGGTGTTGGTCAAACCCGATGGTAAGGGAAAGACTACTTCATATTCCTTTATGGGATCCAGGAGAGAGTCGTCTAACATTGATATTCAAAGATGTAAGAAAATTAGACATCTCAAATAGAAATAAAATAGCAGTAAAAAAGTTAAAAATATACATGTGGAAATACAAGTTTACAGTAACAAAATATAAAGCAAGATATTATATATATTAATTGTGCAAGGAATGGATTATTAAATATAAGAAAGGTGAACGTCTGGGAACTGGAGAGAAAGCACTCAGAAGCTAAACGACATCTGAGCATTACGTTTATTCCTTTGCTATTCACATGAGGGTACTCGCTCGCTTGTGTTGATGTGCAACAGGGCAGCTATTAACATCAATTCAGAATCTTTACCCAGGATGAGCTGAGATGCAAAAAAAATGTAGAATGTTTCCTTTTAGACTGAAATCAAGTCATCCACACAGCTTACATAAACGGCAAAATCAGCTGTGATGTTTTTTAAACCTGTTGGCGTTTTGAAATGTCAAAAACAAATACTCCCCACCAATGATACCCAATGATCCCCTCTCCCCCCCCACCTTTCAATCCCCACAAGTCTGGCTATCTGACCCCCAGTAGACGCTGGCTAGAATCCCCTGTGGTTTTCAGAGTAATGGACATTGTTATCTGTTATTTTGTTCCTTTGCTCAGCCACAAAGATGGAGACGAGAGCATTGATTGATCTGTGGATGGACTCGAAAAAGCACAGTCCTGCATACAAAACATCACAGAGTTACTCATCACTTTTACCATGATGCTTTTTAAACTAACACAAAGATAGGCTGTCCATTGTTGGTGATCATTTCGATATGAAACCTCTCTGTGTTTTTGTGTCGCTCTAAAACCCAGACGAGCAGTATCTCAGTGGACCACTTTATCCGCCTCATTTGTCAAAGTTGAGAGATTTTCCTTCAGCTGCTACCAGCACAACATTAGATTAGTTTTGCACTGTGTCACAGAAAATTAAATGCTTCAGCCCTTGGCGCTAACTTTTGGGAATTTGGATGGTGTCCTTTTTTTTTAAACACAAGAGAAGAAATATAAGTAGGGGAGAGTGGGGTAAGATGAGCCAGTTATTACTTGAACCTAAAAGATAGTTATTCATTCTATCAAGATACTTTATTTAGCTACACAAGACCAGTTAACCTTAACTGAGCTACTGAATCATGTGATCTATTGCACACCCTACCTGCTAAACCCTTCTCTCTCTCGCTGTTCGGTACAGGAGTGTTGTTGTTTCTACCATGTTTAAAACAAAAAAACAAATCAATTGTGTAAAACTACATGGAAATAACATTTATACTACAGAGACTTAACTTAAAGGGGATGGCTCATCTTACTCCACTCTCCCCTAATGGATATAAGGATAATGTACATGAATTTGAATAAAAGGGGCCCTCTCCTGCTGATGTTCAGGTGTATATCAGTATGTAGTGTCTCTACTTTAAAGAGTCCTCTCCTGCTGATGTTCAGGTGTATATCAGTATGTAGTGTCTCTACTTTAAAGAGTCCTCTCCTGCTGATGTTCAGGTGTATATCAGTATTTAGTGTCTCTACTTTAAAGAGTCCTCTCCTGCTGATGTTCAGGTGTATATCAGTATGTAGTGTCTCTACTTTAAAGAGTCCTCTCCTGCTGATGTTCAGGTGTATATCAGTATGTAGTGTCTCTACTTTAAAGAGTCCTCTCCTGCTGATGTTCAGGTGTATATCAGTATGTAGTGTCTCTACTTTAAAGAGTCCTCTCCTGCTGATGTTCAGGTGTATATCAGTATGTAGTGTCTCTACTTTAAAGAGTCCTCTCCTGCTGATGTTCAGGTGTATATCAGTATGTAGTGTCTCTACTTTAAAGAGTCCTCTCCTGCTGATGTTCAGGTGTATATCAGTATGTAGTGTCTCTACTTTAAAGAGTCCTCTCCTGCTGATGTTCAGGTGTATATCAGTATGTAGTGTCTCTACTTTGAAGAGTCCTCTCCTGCTGATGTTCAGGTGTATATCAGTATGTAGTGTCTCTACTTTAAAGAGTCCTCTCCTGCTGATGTTCAGGTGTATATCAGTATGTAGTGTCTCTACTTTAAAGAGTCCTCTCCTGCTGATGTTCAGGTGTATATCAGTATGTAGTGTCTCTACTTTGAAGAGTCCTCTCCTGCTGATGTTCAGGTGTATATCAGTATGTAGTGTCTCTACTTTAAAGAGTCCTCTCCTGCTGATGTTCAGGTGTATATCAGTATGTAGTGTCTCTACTTTAAAGAGTCCTCTCCTGCTGATGTCCAGGTGTATATCAGTATGTAGTGTCTCTACTTTAAAGAGAGAACTTTTCTAGTCCAATATGGGGAAACAACAGATAAATACAACAATAAGAACAACACATAAATGATAAAATACCTCCTAAAACACATAAGAAATAACACCAATATATCCCAGATGGAGATATTTTTCAATGCCTTTTCGATGCCTTCAAGGCATCTATTGCACGTCTGTCCGTCCTGGGAGAGGGATCCCTCCTCTGTTGCTCTCCCTGAGGTTTCTCCCATGTTCCCCTTTAAACTGTGGGGTTTCTTTGGAAGTTTTTCCTTGTACGATGTGAGGGTCGGACAGAGGGTGTCGTATTGTCATACTGATATTCTGTACAAACTGTGAAGTCCACTGAGACAAATGTAACATTTGTGATATTGGGCTATATAAATAAACATGGATTGATTGATTGATTGAGAAACATCACTTGATAAGGGAGTTGGTGGCACTGGAGTGCAATAAAAAGTTACAACAGACTATAAGTTTTCTTCTTCATACAAGCATACAAATTGTTGTAACATATACTGACAAACATCAGTTAATAATAGCAGACAGGAAGTCAATAGCTCCAGCCCTGCAGTGCAATAACACGCATTGCAAACTCTTATAGGCTAACTCTTCAATCTAAGCAATATAAATACAGCAACAGGGGTACATCACGTTGGTACATGTTGTAATACCTCACAGCTTGAGGACTGGACAGTGACTGCTTTATTTGGAGACACTTAACCCTCCTGTCGTGTTCGTTTCCCCCCCGTAACTTTGGTGTCTGTTTTAACTGCTGTTTGAACCATTAATATAACTCTGCTCCATAGCTTCTCTTTGGATAACTGTACATTATACATTTATTTTTAATGTAATATTCCATTCCCTACACTCTTAATGTAAATAATATCCGGCTTTATATTGTGTCTAAAGCCCTTCAATGGTGTTTTATTGTCAGAGTTTATTGATTTGTAATCTTCACGGCCTACTGTATATTCTTCTTTTTAATGCTGCTGTAATTCTATTTTGAGACGTTTAAATTCTAGCATTGTTTATTTCTACTCTTTAATTTCTACTTATGTGCAATGCCTTGTTTTTTTATGCTGCTGCAACGCAAACATTTCCCAAATTGGGATCAATAAAGTACCTACTTATCTTATCTTAATCATCACCATACATAACATGTTTGAATTCAATATAAGTGGTGATCAGAGATGGCAAAAGTACACACATCCTTTACAGATACTCGTGTTTAAAAATACTCTGGTAAAAGTAGAAGTACTGACTAAACGTAAGTAAATAATGTCATTGTTAGCTAATGAATGCTTCCATGCTGAACAACGGCAACATGACAACGTTTTCATTGGTCCCTCTTCTTTAGAGAAGACCAGGAAATGATGGATACACGGATCGTGTTCAAATCAATAGGCACGCAATGACTCTAAATAATAATGATCACGCCACCAAACACACATTCAAACTAAAGGAACCAGCCTGCTTGGAAAATGTAAGAAGTAGAAAGTACAGGTATTAAAAATGTAAGAAGTAGAAAGTACAGGTATTAAAAATGTAAGAAGTAGAAAGTACAGGTTAAAAATGTAAGAAGTAGAAAGTACAGGTTAAAAATGTAAGAAGTAAAAGTAAAAAGTCGTCAGAGAAGTAAGTAGTGGAGTAAAGTACTGATACCAGAAAAATGTATTTAAGGCTTTCATAAGGCCTTGAATAATTCAAATGTAAAACACATTGTTTGTGATGAAAGTAGTAAATTGGTCCAATTTGACCCGAACACGACAGGAGGGTAAAATATCCCCTTTTTTCTGTCTTGCAGGAATACATTATCGTAAGTCGTGCGCCTCCTCGGGGGCGTGCCTCATCTCCTCCTCTGGGTACCAGCAGTTCTGCACCGGCAGGGTGAACTCCGTGTGCATCTCCTGCTGCAACACCCCCCTCTGCAACGGGCCCCGGAGGAAGCGCCCCACCCCCTCAGCGGCGACGTCCAATCGGCCTTCTCTCGTCCTCTTCCTCACCTTCCTCCTGCTGCCGCTCCTCCCTGTGACGTAGACTGAGGAGGAGCTCTGCTCTACAGTTTGTTTACTTCAGTTCAAAACTATAGCAAAGAAAGTTAGTTTTCTGTCCAGTTGGAAGTTGATTCTACGTTGTCGTGTTAACAGAGGTCATTTAAGGATTCAAAGGATCTGTTCACGACATTCATTAGCGACAGTATAATAATAGAGCTTTATTTGTATGGCACTTTTTAAAGTGACTACATGGCACACATCACAAATGTAAACAGAACATGAAATTCACTTCAGGTCACAAGGAGGTAAAATAGGTATGATAATAACAGTAAAATACAATCTAATTAATTAATTAGGAATATTTTTAAATAATAAATAAGTAAATAAAACATTAATAAAACCAATATAATAATCATAATACATTAAATAAATAAGAAGAAGAATAAAGATTGATAGACACATTTAAAAGAGGATGTCGCTTATAAAACTATGAAATAAATCATATTAATAAAAACCTATACAATTAAATAAATAAATAAAACAATCTAAAAATAAATAAATATTAAAGGACTAATTTAAAGGGGATGTCGCTAATAAAACATCTAAAAACATGTGTCTTCAGCTGTTGTTTAAAAATGTCCTCTACAGTGTAGTGTTGCCACATATCATATAGTTAAAACATCATATGGAATTAAAAATAGTGCAAGAAGAAATAGTACCAGAGAAGTAAAAATAAATCATGTCGCCTTGCAAGGTTAGAGGTTTGGGCAACAGTAGAGTCAAATCAAACAGGAAGTCCTTGCAGCTTCAACTTATGCACTTCCTGTAGTAATGAACCTTCCACTGATGATCATTAATGCACATTTTGATTGTCTTAGATTCCCCTTGGAGCTGCGATCCCTGCTGTGAGGTCCTGAAGGAGCAGATTTGGACACTTTTGAATCGTCACGCCGTGGAGAGAAACTGTCGATGTGATCGATAAAACCCCGTGAGGAGGATGGCGCTTTGAAAACCTGGTGAGGCGAATTCATGTCGAGCTTTACTGAATCGTTTATCGCTGCTGTGGCCGGAGAAGGACCATCCAAATCTCAAATCGTTCCTGTTTGTGAAGTGGAGCGTGTTGTGAGGAAGCGCCTCCGGGGTTCTGGTTATTAGATGCTGTAAACTGGTATTGTGGAAAATGATATATTTAAGCTATATTTTGTGGGCTTCTGTTGGTTTTCTTCCTTGTTAATATCGTTGCTGTCATGATGAATCCGGCTTATATGAATTCTCCTGCTGCACATTCATGATCATATATGCATATTTCCACTGCCGAACATATTAACTCACTCAGAAATAGGAACAACTATGTTTTATTGATTTCAAAAAGGAATCTGTTGTCCACAAGGCTGATTAGATGATTTAATAATCCATATACTCCTTTGGGAAATTGAATATTAAACGGCCTGTGAGTTAAACTCTCACTAGAGAAATGCTTCAGGGCGATATCACTCATATTTCCCTTTAAGTTAATATTTCTTAGTACTTCAAATATTACAAATATGCCCATCATAGCTTGCATGTTAAAGCTGTAGACCAAATATTCACATTATACACCATGAAAACAAATTTGGCTTAATGTATGGATTCTATTCCCATGGCAACATGTGTTATACTTCAGTCTTAATTATAAATGTTTTGTTCTGAAGTTTGATTTGATTATGTGTACAGTATTATATTTATATGTACAGAATGTGCTGTAAACAAAAACAACGCAGACGTTCTCCAACTGTATTTGAATGCAACATTATTAATGGTCAAGAAACCGAGGGAAAGCCTTGGTGTACATTCATAAATATAATAAGACTTATTTCTGTTCTGGAAACAGGGAAGATGGACCATGTGATAAATGTTCATGGCAGTTGTTGGCTGGTCTTCTGTGAAGAGTCATTCTGTATTCTGCTGAAATGTGATGGAAATAAATGTTGCAGAAAAAAAGTTGCGAAAGCTCTGATGTTTCCGGAAGAAATGAATGTAATTTAGTAGCTGATTAGACATTGAATCCATGTACATGTATTGTGAATTATTCAATTAGGCTTTACTCTCTATGTCATTTTCCACACATCTTTGCAATATGTTCTGCTGACTCAGGAAAACTCAAGGGGGGGAGGACTTTACCTGGGACTTTACCACCGCTGCTGGGGGTCCCTGGGAGCCAGTTTGAGCGTAAATGCCCCCCCTCCAACCTTCACACAGCCAGGCTAAGGACAGAGTTATTAAATGAGCTACACTTCAGTATGCTACCATCACTCATTACTCATCGATTGATTGTTTGTCTGCGTTTTCTAATGAGTTTTAGTTTTTTTCCCAACCTGCTCTTGCTATTATGTATGCATTATTGAGTAAAAGTCTTAGAATATATATCACACATTTTCTTACTCTTGTGCATTTCAATTATTAGCATATTGACACCGCCAGCCTGCGAAGATAAAAGCCTCACATGAAAAGGAAGATTAAGCTTTTGTCAGAATGAGCAGTGGATGCAGATTAGACATAATCCACTCTGTTATACACCCGTTTTTATAATCACTGTTTTTGTTTTGTGGTGGATTAGGGTAACATCCAGGTAATTCAGTAAAGATAAGATATGAGGAATGGCATGATATGCAGCTCTTTATCTACTAAACCAGGAGGGAAGCTGGAAATATTCGTAAAGAGCGAGAGAGAGTCCAGTTATGGCTATAATGTGTCAGCGTTAAGTGCCTTTCCAAGTAACCATTTTCCAATTATTTCCCTAACAATGCACCGCTGCATTGTTAGAGGCACAATGGAGCAGCGCCCACATAACATTTAACATGAACAATAACTTTGCAGACAGATAAGAAATATGTACACAGCCCACATGATCACACGGTGTTGGTGTTTTTAAACCTTGGTTGTGTCAAATTAAACTGTATTAGAAAGTGTCCTGCAGTGTGAGGGCGCCTGTATGACAGAGCATCAATACGAACACAGAGGAGGAGGAGGAGGAAGGACCGACGAAGGGGAAGTGCCGACTGCAGATCTCCTAGGATTAAGAAGCAGCAAAAACGGGAGATTATTAAAAATAATAAGGCCCACCTCTGCCTGCTAATGACGTGGCAGTGGAAAACACTCCAGTTGATGAGGGACCCCAACTCATACTTTGTTTACTGTGTAGGCCAAGTGTAATCCAAATGAAGGGAAATGATCTATAGGGCGGGATTTTGTTTTCCAGGGGACGTGATCTCCAGAGAGTTAATTATCCACAATTCAGCTGTAGACATTGTATAGTTATAATGAACCACAGCTAATCTATACTTTATTCCCATTAAATGTTAATCAAGAATCAAATCTATTAACCACAGCATCAATAGGCTTGTTTTTACTATTCTTTAAATGACATTTCCCATTAAACAGATTACATTCAATATGATATCGGCTTTAACAGTTATCCTAAATATGATGATGTAGCAGTGGACCTGATACAAGCTCCATCACCACACTTTATTTTCACTCCAATCCACTTTAGTGCGCTAACACAAATCTTCATTCCAGTAAGTAGCATAGCCCCCCCCCACACACACACACACACACTCCAAAATTAGAGCGGTGCAAAGGGGGAAATTCATTTGTGGCTGCGGGGAAGTTAACAGGCATAGTGTTAAATACATTGCACCAGGAACCAGAGAAATAAAAGAGAACTGGCTGGAAAATGGCTGTTAAACAATTCCATTACAGGAGGGATGTTTAAATGGTGGTGGTGGGTGGGGTTCGAAATATTGAGCCAGCGGAGGTGGGGTTGCATTGCTTGAACACATTGTGTGTTGCATGTTGTTACAGTTAGTGTTCTCTGGTTTGTCTTTGAAACGGGAGCACTGGTGCCCTCTAGTATTCAACACAGTGACACACAGGAGGATTAACAGAGGAAGAGACATGCATTTAACCTCTCTGATATCTCTTAATGTCATATATTACTTCTTTGTATCTCTCCCAGCAAAGATAAGGGGCTTGTAAATAAACCAATCTTATTGTGGCTGTACTGTATATTGTCTTAGAACAATTCTTCCAATCATTATAGTATTGCTCAGTTCAACCAAAAACAGAAGACTGAAGACTTGTGTTTTGTGCAAATCATTTCATTTTCTTTGAAAGCTTGTGGCAGACTTTGCTCCATGCTGTAGCAATGTGTTCCACCCAGTTCTAAATAGAGAGTTTCTGTCAAGTAACCTGGCTTCTTCGAGAGGACTGTTTCTATCAGCGGCCGCAGAGCCAAGGGCTTTCCGAGGAGAGTCTGCGATGAAGAGACTCTTGTATGAGTGATGAGTCTGCCTCAGGACGAAGGGCCAATGTTCTCAGGCCCTGGGATTGGTCTTAATGTGGTTTGGTGCTCTGAAGCCAGTATCAGGCCCTAAAGCATCCTTCTGCTCATACATCGTCTTTATCAGCAGGCCTCCATGCACTCATAGAGGGCGAGGACTGGCCTTTGATGGCACCTATCATATGTAGTCAATTACAATTCCTGCTCTTAATATTCTTTGTAATGCTATTGCTATTTCCAGTATTATATCTTGTCTTGTCTCTGAATGCAGTTGTTGAATGCTTTTCAATGCACTGCTGGAGTCAGATCATATTAACACCTTCTTCATACGACCTCCTTCTACCCAATTCAGAGCTAGACGAATAGCCAGAAGCTCCCCAGTATACACAGCCAGACCATCGCTAACTCTTTCGCTTTTCATAACCTCAGATTCTGGAATGATAAATGCTATCCCAACTTTATTATTGTCTCTTTTGGACGCGTCAGTATATACTTTTGTAAAATCCAGGTACTTGTTTTTTAAATGATTATTGACCTTTACTTTGTTTGTAGAACTTCCTTTTGCCTTATCTAATAATCTAAAATCCACATATGTCTCCTGCAACGTCCAAGGCGGTATGACTGGGAGGGGCACTGTTGGATTTATCTCTGCGTTAGCTACTCCTAGCTCATGCACCATATGTCCTATAGTCCAACCAAAACGTTTCATTTGTCGCTTTTCCCTCTCTTGACAAATCTTTAGTACGTTATGCACTGGATGATTATTAGTATGTCCTTTTATATTTGCCCGGTAAGTTATTGCTATTTGCATCCTTTTTTCAAGAGGCATTTCCCCAATTTCAACCTGTAACGCTGTAACTGGAGTGGTTTTAATGGCTCCGCAACATAATCTCAACGCTTGAAACTGTATAATATCCAATTTTCTTAATAATGTTTTTGATGCCGACTCATAGACGATGCATCCATAGTAGTCAATCACTGATCTAATTAACCCAATATATATTGTGTTTAGAGCTGCCCCCCACTCTCTGCCCCTTAAACATCTGATAATAATTTCATAATCTTTTTGCATTTTGTCACACATTTCTCAATATTTCCCAGGTACAGTTCATATCAAATAACACATATTTAAAGCAATCAACTTGTTCTATTACCTGACCATACAACTTAAGGCTGATTTGATTGCTCACTTTCCTTTTGGTAAAGAAAACTACTTTTGTTTTCCCTACTGAAAACCTAATACCCCATTCCAGTGCCCAAGCTTCAACCTTTTCAATAGCCTGCTGTACTTTTTTTAACAATAAATGCAACATTTCGCCCCCTTTTCCACATCACTCCATCATCATGCAGTAACAGTCTCCGTCCACTAGGCGTCAGCATTGCGCCTCTGAAGCTGCTGACTCTGCACTAGAAGAAAAATTCATCAAACCCGGAAGCGTTCCTGAATCGTCCGTACTGCTATTCATTCAGGCTGCTGAGATTTACATCAGTTACTCTTAACATATCCGTTCTTATCGAGCGCCTGATATATTCTCTTGTAGATAGATTAAAGAAGAGCAAGCATGGCTGGTCGGCTACCGGCTTGTGTTGTTGACTGTGGCACGGGGTAAGTGACAACAATAGAAGGCTAGCTAGCTTTAGCCTGCTTTTCATAAGCGGCTGTCAAACTTCCAGCTAACGCCCCGTCTAGCTGAGTAGCCCGAACGATGCTAATGTTACTTAGCCACGTCTATTTACTATTTTATTCTAATATTGCCTTTAGAGACGGGGTAGGTGCTGCGAAGTTGCAAGCCAAAATGCCTGCCTGTGTTATTTGTAATGCTTTTAATCTCAATGCTACGTTATCGTTGCAGTTAGCTGCTACTAGCTACCGAAGCTAATAGTAACTTCCTGGACAATCCTCATAGCAGAAAGCATTTATCCACATTATTTGGGTTGTAACTGCATCTATAGTTTCCAGCAAACACTTTAACTATATTAATGAGCTGTAACCAAAGCATTATCCTCCTTCTGTTTCCTTTTTAGGTACACAAAGCTTGGTTATGCAGGGAATACAGAACCACAGTTCATCATACCTTCATGTAAGTAAATGAGAAAATGCCCAAACAGGAATTACATTTGATCAAATAATTGTTATTTTAGCTTTCCATTATAAATGGACTATAAGTATACTAATGTATATATTATTTATATTATTAATATGTATACAATCTCTGTTAATCAATAGAAACATAATCAAGGTTTTATCTTTTAACTACTTGGCTTGAAAAAGGGACACATCTTTGTAATCCGCTTTAAAAGAGTCACAGAAAGAGCTAACAGATGAACACATTGATTCGGCATATCATGTGAACCTGTTGTTAAAATATAGAACAATTCCAGGATTATTATTGAAATGTGTATAATCATCTCCAGGTATCGCAATCAAAGAATCAGCCAAGGTTGGAGACCAGGCCCAGCGAAGGATGATGAAGGGAGTCGATGACCTGGACTTCTTCATCGGGGACGAAGCCATCGACAAACCATCATATGCAACAAAGGTAGACGGGACATTTCAAATGAGCCAGGATGGATGTTTCTGTTGTGAAGCGGCTTGATTTAGACATGTTATCCTTTTTATTCCCAGTGGCCCATCCGTCACGGAATAGTGGAGGACTGG